GGTTTCTATGGGAATCGCAGAAGTTATTAGTACGATGAACTGGAGTTCGAGGCCCAAAAATGGTAAAAAAATAATAAATGAAGATTTTTGTCCCAATAATTCAATTTTTATTCTTAAATTAATTGATTTTTTCGTTAATAATATTATTTTTTATTTATTGTTGAACTGTTTTAGCTTAATTAAATTATAAACAAATTTGCGGGTGAAAATAAATTTGTCTATTTTGACAAGCAACAAATATTTGAAAATTCAATGATAATAATTTTTTCAATTATTTATGCATTTAATGCATTTAAATAATCGTATAATTTTTTTTAATAAAATTAAATACTTTGAAATTTATTAGCGGCAGCTAAAATAAACACATATTCAAATAAATACCTCACAATGCCACTTTTTTCTCTCTCTCTTATTTTCGAGGAGAAAAACAAAATTGCATTTATTTATTTTATTTTATTTTATTTATTTAAAAGATTAGACGATAAAAAATAAATGGTTAAACATTAAAATTTTTCGAGAAATATAATAAATAAGGGAAAATTTTTAGAGTTTTATTTGATAATAATCCGCCAATTTTTATAAAAATAGCATACCATGAATTTATATAATAAAATAAATAATAAACGATAGAAAAATTATTAAGCGCATACAAACATAAATGAAATAAAACAATCAATGAAAGTGTTTAATTACGTAAAACATCAAATCTAACAATCGTACCAAACACTAAGACAATAAAATCTAGTTATTTATGTTCGCTATTATAAACCTTAAATTCAACAACAACAAAATAAAGGAAAAGAAGTACAAAATATGTTTTTGTGTAAATTTCTTGTTCCTGTTACAATATCCATGAATTCGAGCTTGAACATCTTTTTGTTTTGTTCGGGTAATTTTTCTTTTGATAACATTTCAAAATGCGATTTATGTAATTAAATACATGTTTAATTCATGCATGTATTTAATACATTAGGAATTTATTTTCAACTAATGAACTCTTTTGTGGGCATGTATTTCCTTCCATTCATGTAATTTACATCTACCTTTAAATTTTAAATATTCACAATTTACCTTTTTTTTTTTTTTTAAATTTTAAAATAATAATAATAAAAAAAACGTTTTCTTGAAGGCCGGGGAATAGTACTGGGACTGCACGAGAAAATAAAAGAAAAAGAAAAAGAAATTACAAAAGTTTATAAGGGCGAGTATAAAAGGAGATGCTCCAACCCAGATTTGCTTCCCATTCAATTCGCTCTCTTTCCTTCCCTTTCCTTTTCCCATTGCATAACCACTCGCATTTAACGCTCGTACTCAACACATAGCCACTTCGAAAATTTGCAGAGAGAAACAAAGATCAACAATGGCGGTTTCTCTCAGACTACACTTTTCGATGGCTTCTTCATTGCTCTTTCTTCTTCTCCACATCCTCTTCGTTCATTCAAGGTAAATCGCGTCGATCCTCTACGATTTCTGAATATAATCTCATCGCCGTTGCCCGCCGGTGTCTCGTTTGAGTGATTTTGATTGTTCTCATTTTTTATTTCTTCACATTGTTGATAGTTTTGCTGGAGATGAGAGATTGCAGAGCTTCAATTCTTCATCAATGGCGGACTGGTCAGTATCGGAACCGAAGCGTTTTTCTTTTTTCTTTTTCGGGGGAGGGGATGGGAGAGAGATCTATTCTGATCGTCTAACGCTTAATTTAGACCGTCAGATGTATCAAACGGTTCAGAGAAAGGGATTTTTTAGATCTGATCTGGAAAATCTGAGCCGTTTGTTCATTTTACTCTCTGTATTAGTTACTTTCTTTGACTCTTCAACATTCCACTCAAATTTTGGACTTTTTGGTCAATGGCTATTTTCAATTCCACGTGTACAAGTTTTTCCTCAAATTTTTTTATCAAATTCCTCAAGAAAAGGAGGAAAAAAAAAAAAAAAAAAAAAAGGAANATCTTTTAAATTTTCATGTTTCACCATAATTAATTGTCTTTATTTTTCATGCGTGATATAATTATGTTAAAAAATGTTAATTAACCAATATTATTTCCTTCATAATTAATTAATTTTCTGTCGTTATTCCTTAGAATTGGCTCAGAAATTCACGTGTTGTTTTGGCAGATAGGAAACAAAATGAATATGGAAAATAAAATATTATTAAATAAATGTAAAAAAGGAGAAAAAAAAAAAAAAAAAAAAACAGGAAAGCTGAAAATATGAAATATTAAATCATTGGAGCAGCCTTCCAACGGCCAGGAGCTTAAAATTATTATTACTTTTTTTATGTTTTATTTATATGATTAAATGTTCCAATTCATTTAAATATATTTTTTTAATTGAAATTTTCAGGAATGTTAAGAACGAGCATGCTGTTGATAATCCAGAGGAAATTGCATCAATGGTCGATTCGTAAGATTTCCGTCTCTTTCGTCATTTATTTATGATCCCAAATGAAAAATTAATTATAATATATAGTGGAATTTAATAATAATAGAAAAAGATTTATAAGTATTTATTATTGGTTTCATTATTTAGTTTTGGGTAGGATTTTATTAGTATTGAAATTTATAATATGATTCGTGGGGGCCCAACCATCACGTTCTTTGCTACTGAAATTTCAATCTCTTTCGCATATGCCCATGTGGCCAGATCCACCTGTCACGCTCATAATTTAATTCTTGTCTCTTCCCTTATCCAAAATTTGCAAAATAGATTTTATTAACAGGGTAATATTGTCGGTCACATCGTACCCATCTTTCCAATAATAGATTCTAACTCGAACATAATTCACTTGAGTTTCTTATAAAATTTGGGATTTATCGAAAAAGATCATAAGGATATTTTGAATCTGGTTTTTTGATAATGGGTTGAATTTATTGTGGCAAATCATGCAGGCGGCAGAAGTATAGTAATGAGTAAATGAAACTACATTTTTCATTTAAAACACCCACACCGACAGACCAAATTTTTGCTCTGTTTCATCTTTTGCATTCAATTTTCGCAGCAAAATTGACAGCTTTGTTTTTGCAATAAATGACCCCAGTTTCCCGTAAGATCTGTATCCACCACTCATTGAATTATGTTGATGTGTAATGCTTGTGTGTTTACTAGTTAATCTTTAAGCTATATTTATGTTGGTGAAGTTTGATGATTATTAATTCATATGGGGTTCACAGATAAAGATTTAAGTTCATAGAAATAGTTGATGTAGTTATTGATTTACTAGCATTTGGAACTTTCTCAGGAGCATTCGCAACAGCACAGAGAGAAGGAATTTAGGGTTCTTCTCTTGCGGAACAGGAAACCCAATTGATGATTGTTGGCGATGCGACCCACGTTGGCAACTTCGCCGCAAGCACCTAGCAAATTGCGGCATTGGGTTCGGTCGCAACGCTGTCGGTGGCCGCGATGGGAGATACTATGTCGTTTCAGATCCTGGCGATGACGATCCTGTCAATCCCAGACCAGGAACCCTTCGCCATGCCGTGATTCAAGACAGGCCATTGTGGATTGTGTTCAAAAGAGATATGGTCATCACTCTAAAGCAAGAACTCATCATGAACAGCTTCAAAACAATCGATGGCCGTGGTGCTAATGTCCACATTGCTTATGGCGCTTGCATTACAATCCAATTCGTAACCAATGTCATTATTCATGGTCTGCATATTCATGACTGTAAGCCAACGGGTAACGCCATGGTTCGAAGCTCCCCTAGTCATTATGGATGGAGGACAATGGCGGATGGGGATGGGGTTTCTATTTTTGGGTCGAGTCATATTTGGATTGACCATAACTCTCTTTCTAGCTGTGCTGATGGGCTCATCGACGCTGTGATGGGATCAACTGCCATTACCATTTCTAACAATTACTTCACCCACCACAATGAGGTAAAGATTCTCCTCTTATTCGATGATCCAATGAACTTGGTTTGGGATTAACTGAGAATGTTGCATAAACAGGTGATACTTTTGGGACACAGTGACTCATATGTAAGAGACAAGCAAATGCAAGTGACCATTGCTTATAACCATTTTGGTGAAGGTCTCATCCAAAGAATGCCAAGGTAGCGTCATTGCTCATTTATTAGATACTCGAAAAATGAAGGATGAGTACTCACGGAAAGCTGGAAAATTTCACTATTCATTCTGAATCCAAAGCTGAAAAAAATTAACTGTTTGGACCCAATCATTTAATGTTGCAGGTGTAGACATGGGTATTTCCATGTAGTAAACAATGACTACACTCATTGGGTAATGTATGCCATCGGTGGAAGTGCTGATCCCACCATTAATAGCCAAGGCAACAGATATCTTGCCCCTGCCAACCCTTTTGCCAAAGAGGTATCATTCCTCTCTCTAGATCTCAAACCTGTTCGAAACAGTAAAGAAATACAGATCAATAAAATGGTTATAACTCATAAGCAATGCCTGATTAGTTCTAATGGCTAATGTATGAAGGTCACTAAGAGAGTTGATACGTGGAATGGTGAATGGAAGCACTGGAATTGGAGATCAGAGGGAGATCTTTTGCTAAATGGAGCCTATTTCACTCCATCAGGAGCTGGGGCAGCAGCCAGTTATGCAAGAGCCTCAAGCTTAGGAGCCAAATCCTCTTCCTTGGTGGGCACCATTACTTCATCTGCAGGTGCCCTTTCTTGTCGCAGGGGATACCGTTGTTAATTTCAAGTCACAGTTAAAGTAAGATATATAAAAAACGAAGAAGAAGAAAGAATCTAAACACTTAAAAGGAAGAAAAAAAAAATTTACTCATTTTTTCTTCCCTATTATTGTTATAGTTATAGCATTATCTCAATGAGTTTGAGCCATCCCTTCTGTTTACAACCGCCCCACCGCCACCACCATACCACCGCCACCTTGTACTTGTCCCAATCAAGAATTGGAAACTGTACATTTTTCTTCGGTTACATGTTAATGCCAAATGTTGTAATATCCATATCATTCTATCTTTTCTCATTGGTTCTATAACTTGAATTAGGACATGTTATGACCTAAAGTGATAGACTTGTCCTTAATCCACATCAAGAATCTTTCTCAAAGCAAACTTTTAAAAAACTCAACAAAAAACAGCATAAAATCTTCAAACTAAACCTGAAATGAAGATTTTCCCTCAATAATTCATGAACAGATGATAAACGCTGCATTATGGACACATAGTGTTAGAGAGGGGCTATAGTATCATGTGTCCGTTTCTTATACCTACAAAACAAGCCATTTTTCTTGCCAACTAGTTTGTTTAAACCACCCATGTTGCAATTATGAGCTTTACTTGAGTTGTCATTTTTTGCCCATGTGAACTTAGAAGAGGCACTGAACTATAGCTGTACCATGGCCTCCTCATTCTGTATAATGAACGAAAGGAAAGGAATCAGGTAGATAAGATATTTTGCAACCTAATAAGCTGTGCAAGTTATCTAATCATCACCTTTAAATACTTTATAATCCATTACAGGACAAAGTAGCTTGGAATAATATTAATATATGCAATAGATGGCATATTTTCTTCTCTAGGAGTGCAAGTTTAGTTCTTGGATGGTGTATATAGGAAGTCTAAGATTGAGAGCCTCAAAGTAAGGCTTCACATGAGCTACAGAAACACAACTACTTGTTAAGCTTTATTACAAGGGAGATTCTGTCTTGCAACTATGATTGAGCCTTTACTCAAATATGCCAATGACTTTGATAGGGAAAGATAACTTACATGCTCACATGCCCTTCTAGAGGGCTGTGTCCACACTGAGCAACTCCTAACTCGTCTCTCGTACCTATTTTGTCTTAATGCTAGCGGTATTACAGAAGAGGGTCCCTTGTCCCTACTTCATGCAAAACCTCAGTGTGAGATCCCACATTGATTGAAGAGGGGAACGAGTGCCAGCGAGGACGCTGGTTGGGTGGAGTGTGAGATCCACATCGGTTGGAGAGGGGAACGAAGCATTCTTTATGAGGGTGTGGAAACCTCTCTCTAACACACGAGTTTTAAAAACCTTGAGGGGAAGCCGGAAATGGACAATATCTACTAGTGGTGGGGTTGGGCTGTTACACTCAGATTCTTGCCTATGAGCACAGTCATGATATAGAGCTAACTCGTACTTCAAACAACATGGCTACAACTAAGGCGAAAGAACCTTCTTTGGAACAGATTTACAGCAAGGGATAGCTTCATCATGAATCAAAGATGCATAGGAACAGCACATATAGACTTCAGCAACTGTATTGAAGATAAATCTAAATCTTCACTAAGCAAACATTTGATATCTGGAACATTGCCTCAGCAGATACAATTGGACATGGTGCATGACCCAGAAACATATAGCTTTCCATCTTAATTATACAGAGAGCAGTGTGTTCGATATACTCGTACACCTCAAATTCATGGTATTTACAACCTTCAGTAGCATAAAATACCAGCACATAACTACTCTTGCACGGTCAAGCGACCTCAAAAATGTATACAGCCTACAAAGCTGAAAATCGTTTCGATTTTGAAGTAATTTATGGGGAATGGCTTACCACAAGTAACACTATTTGTACTTCTCCATTATTTTTCTGGCTTCTTCAAGAGTCTCCTCTGTGGAGGCTGTGGAGGAGGCAGAGCCTCCACCTCCTCTTGGCCCTTCATCTTTATTCAAGGCTATAAAGATGAAATAAATTGCTCCCACCATAGCCTGCATCCATACAATTCTTTGTTCAGTAAGTTTGTGCCAGATATCGTCCAATACAATAGTTATAGAACAAGTGGACCATACAATTCTTTGTTCAGTAAGTTTGTGCCAGATATCGTCCAATACAATAGTTATAGAACAAGTGGACCATGAGGACCGTGAAGATGTAATATACCAGCACAAATGCGGCTGTAGATAGGACTGACTTGAGCAAAAAGAGTCCAATAGATAATGCAGCTATTGCAACAGATATCCTTGCTACTGGCCTTGGTACAGAGTCCTGAAAACAAGGCCACAAACACACAATTAGATCCTTTTCTTCTTGCCGCTGAAAAACTATCCCCATTTGATCTTGAGTGAACTCAAAGTTTAGTTCTAAAAGGGGAAGATTTTAGAGGAACTCACAGGCACCAGGTCTGTTCCTGCCTCAATCCCATCCTTTCCAACCTTCCAAACTGTCTGAAAAACTGTTCATAGAATTTTCCAAGAGAATTAAGGCTTCACCATGTCAGAATGAGGTACAAAAATTAACGATTCAAGTCTACTGCTAACAAATATTGTCCGTTTTGGTCCGTTACATATCACCGTCAACCTCACGGTTTTAAAACGTGTCTACTAGGGAGAGGTTTCCACACTCTTAATAGGAATGTTCGTTCCCCTCTCCAACCGATGTGGAATCTCATAATCCACCCTCCTTGCTGGCACACCGTCCGGTGACGGGCTCTGATACCATTTGTAACAGTCCAAGCCCATCATGAGTAGATATTGTCCATTTTGGTCCATTACATATTGCCGTTAGCCTCACAGTTTTAAAACGTGTCTACTAGAGAGAGATTTCCACACCCTTAATAGGAATGTTTCGTTCCCCTCTCTAACCGACGTGGAATCCACAATCCACCCTCCTTGGGGACCCTAGCGTCCTCGCTGGCACACCGTCCGGTGACGGGCTCTGATACCATTTGTAACGGTCCAAGCCCACCATTAGTAGATATTGTCCATTTTGGCCCATTACATATCGTCGTCAGCCTCATGGTGTTAAAACGTGTCTACTAGAGAGAGGTTTCCACACCCTTAATAGGAATGTTTCGTTCCCCTTTCCAACCGATGTGGAATCTCACAATCCACCTCCTTGGGGGCCAGCGTCCTCGCTGGCACACCGCCCAGTGACGGACTCTGATACCATTTATAACAACCTAAGCCCACCACTAGCCGATATTGTCCGCATTGACCCATTACGTATCGTCGTCAACCTCACGATTTTAAAACACATCTACTAGAGAGAGGTTTCCATACACTTATAAGAAATGTTTAGTTACCCTTTCTAACTAAAGTGGGATCTAAAGAATTTTATTTTATTTTTGACAAGTTCCTATGATGACCCTTTAGGTAGCAACTCGACCACTTCATTTCCAGCTCGCTTAACCAGTTAACAAGATGATTACCAAATATGTTTGGGTTTCTTTTTTCAATAATCAAAGATGAAATTAGAAACACTAACCAAACAAAACTTGTTAAATCATGTCCATATGACCTCTAAATTATCAAATTACAGATTTGAATTCTAAGTATTTAGATGTATAAACATAAAACAACATTGATAACGAATCAGAAACCATAAACTAACCTCTCAAGAAATTGTTCTGTGCAGCATATACAACAGGGAAAGAAGCAGAGCTTCGATTTCTAAGCTTCCCAATTCGTGAATACCAGAGGAAAGATTGTTTTCGGAGCTTCAACGAATTCAAAGGAAGGAACTGCGAATGGGCGAAAATGGTTGAGTTTCTATGGCGTTCTAATGGGTGCGATGAAATTGAAGGTAAATTGTGAAATAGACACGAAGAAGCCATTTGAATCAATCAGATACACCGAGTCGATGGCGAAATTGGAGAGATGAACGAAGCAGGTGAGGCTTCGCGCGATGGACAAAGAACAACACGAGTTTTCTCAGCCTCATAAAGGAAGATAGGGCCCACGCCGACGCCATGTTTGGGTTTTGGAGGCGTTTTTTGGGCCTCATCTTTGAAGGGCTGAGCCCAAATAACTTGAGAGTTAATACTCTCATGAGGTTCATGGCACTCATGATTTGAATCACGATGGATTGTATGTCACAGCAATAACTCAATCGGCTTGCTCATTCAATTTCCCTCAACAGTTCACCGTCTCCTTTTGTTCTTTAAAAAGCCACCAATTAGACCATTTTTCCGTAAAGTGGCCTTGAAAATGGCGAATGAGCTGATTTTGGTTATGGCTATGGCTATGGTTATGGTTGCATTTGCAGGCTGTGTTACTGCAAGAACTGCCCCAAATGATGGGGCAAAAAGCGTCAGTGACCAAAAAAACTTCGTCAACTATGGTGGGGTTGGTGGCTTCTCTGGCATTGGTGACAGTGGACTCCCCTTTGGAGGGGCTGGGGGCGTTGTCGGGTTCGGCGGTGGCAGTGGCATTGGCGGACTTGGAGGGGGCGGTGGCATTGGTGGACTCGGAGGGGGTGGTGGCTTAGGTGGGCTCGGCGGTGGCATTGGCGGACATGGAGGGGGTGGTGGCTTAGGTGGGCTCGGTGGTGGCACTGGTGGACTTGGAGGGGGTGGTGGCTTAGGCGGGCTCGGTGGTGGCATTGGTGGATACGGTGGGGGTGGCGGCTTAGGCGGGCTCGGCGGTGGTATTGGTGGATATGGTGGGGGCGGTATCGGAATTGGAGTTGGTGGAGGATTTGTTAAGATCCCTTAAGTAAACTTGGAGTTTTATAAATTTAGCCTGTTTAAATGTACTTTGTAATGTTTGGAGTCCGTTTAGGTTTTTTTTTTTTTTAAATAATAATTTATCGTGATCATAGATTTAAATCTATAATCTTTTCATCAGGTTCGTTTAGTGTTAGAAGAAAAACGACACGAAAGTGTTTGTTTCATCATCTTATTTACTATTTTATTAGTCAAGGATGTGTGAAGCATATTTGGTAATACCCTTTTAGGAATTTCGTTACAATTTTATTAAATTCCTATTTTGCCCTTTTGTGTTTCTTGATGGGACACAATTTTATTAAAAATGGTTTCTCAAACTCTTATAATTTGATCCTTTTAAGTTTAACTATCCCGTTAGAGATGTTAAGACGATAAAGTTGGTTCTTTAAATTTTCACATTACAAAATATATTTAAAAAATAAAATTTTAAATTAAATAGGTATTAAACATATCTATTTCATAACTCTTTAATAACACGTTATATGTTGACAAAATAAATAAAAAAAACGTCCTTGATTATAATTAATTATATTTAAGTTTATTAAATATGTATGGAGTTATTAATGGTGAAAATAGTTAATGGTTTCTTCATCTCTACAATATAAATAAGAATTTGAGTTCGTAAAGTTACTCAAAAAGAAGTAGAAATGGCAACTATGAGATCTTGTTTGGCTTTACTTTTGGTGTTGGCGTTCGTAATGTCTGAATCATGCTTTGCATATCGCTTTGATGCTTGGAGGATACGAGTATTTAACGACATGAGCCATGGAGAAACGTTGAGAATTCACTGTAAATCTAAAGACGACGATTTGGGACGACAAACACTTAAAGTTGGAAACAACATCAAATGGGATTTTCGAGAGAATGTATGGTTGACTACATTGTTTTGGTGCAACATAAATAGCCCATATGGTCATGCTGCTTTAGAAGTATTCAACTCTCGTGATCCTGTACTATACTTTCGGTGCCACGGGTATGTGTGCATTTGGTCAGTAAGGGATGATGGAATCTATGTGAGAAATAGTTCTCAGAATAACAACTATGAGTTGATAACTAAATGGGAGCCGCGTCGATAGAATTTTCTTTGAACTAAAAATTATAGATAACTACTCCTTGAGTTTATGTCATTCAAGCATAGCTCAATCCGTCAATAATAAATAAAATTTTACTTTTGTAGAAATGGGGTTGACAAGTCTTATAATGAATGATTCATTTCTCGTTCTTCTCTACCATTTGCAACAATCTAAGTCCATGCTCGGTGAGTTTGGGCTATTAAAAATTTTGGTTCTTACAAATGATATCAAAGTCAAATACTAGACAATGTGTTAGCGAGGACGAAACATTTCTTATAAAGATATAGAAACCTCTCTTTAAAGACACGTTTTATAACCGTGAGAATGTCACAATACCTAACATGAGTCAAAACAGACTATCTAGTGATGAGTTTAGGCTATTACAGATGTTTTTCTATTTTTGTGCGTTAAAATATGTGAATCATGCCTATTTTTCTTCGTTTAATGTGAACAAAAAAAATGATAAATATCGCTGATATAACCATTTATAAGACACTTAATGTGCTCAACCGTGCAAATTAAGGAGAAAATATAAAAAATGTAAGAAGTCTAATTTGTGTTTTCCTTTATTGTTTAATGAAAAATAAATGTTTTTCCGATGAATATTAACCTTAAATTACCTTCCCAAATAGGATTAAGAGCGAGTTGGACACTAAGATTTTGTTTGCTATATAATGAACCAAAATCCAAATGGTTAAGAGCCTCTGTCTAAAGAAAAAATGAAGCTTCAAACCCGCTTTTGTTTCATCTTATTGTTTTCTTTGGAATCTAGCATTATTATTAATACATGTTTTGCAGGAACCAAGATACCAGCTGTAGAGAGTAAACGGCAAAAGGCAGGAAGTAGATGGAAAGTGACTATTTACAATTTTCAAACAAACTCAGTTTTAAATGTTCATTGCAAGTCAAAAGACGATGATTTGGGTGCACGCGTTTTGGAGAAGAGGGCCAATTTCGACTGGAGTTTCAAAATGAACATTTGGCAAACGACTTTATTTTGGTGCAACTTTAATGGTGCGAATGGACACGCTTCATTTGAAGTTTTTTGGCCGGAGGAAAGCTCTTGGCTTTCTGAACGATGTGACTATAAAAACTGCATTTGGGGAGCTTTTGATAGTGGACTTTACTTGCATAATATTCCTCTCCAGAAGTATGAATTGGTACACCACTGGAAAAAATGAAGTAAAATCTCAGTCGCTCGTTTTGCTCCCACAAAACCACTTTTTTCTTTTCTTTTATGTTTGATTGCTTACACACACGTAGCAATTCAATAGAGTTGTTGGGTGTCTTTATAGACCTAAGATGTTGTATTTTTTAAGTCTAATAAAAGTGGGAGGAACCTTTTGGGATTTTAGAGTTCTTTTGATAATTTGGCTCGGTTTCAAGTTTCTATTCGTAATGACCCATGTCCAAGATTTGAAATTTGGATTTGACACTTAATGGTCCTACCATTTCTATGACGATATGGTCATGTTACTTACTTATTGCTTTTTAAGAGTGAAAATTATCTCCACATACCAACATGTGTCATTTCAGCATATCTTTTCCTCACTCACATGTTTGCTACGAACATTCTCAAGATATCTCCCAACATAAAATTGGTCCAAACAAAACACATTTAGTCTCGAAATTCTTATGATTAAGCCACCAAAAAGAAAAGTGCGCCTTGCTGATATAAGTAGTAAGTGTCATTTCTTTTTAGACCTTTCTTAGTCATCTATACTCTTGTCACTTTCATTTGGATGTAATCTTGGTTTGTTCATATACTCTTTTTTACTTGGGTATCACTATACTCAAAACCCTTTTATTATTGAAGAATATTTGTAGTTTTAAACCGGAAATGGTAACAATTTAGGACGAAAAGAAAATATGTATAATTATTGTAAATGGGAAGGTTAGAATCATAAAACGGATATATGCAAAGATCTGAGGTCAATTTTCCTCGATAACAACTTTCTAATTTGAAGCCAGCCAACTCGGAGAACATTTTAAATTAATTGTGAACGTAGAATAAAATATAGGAGCCAATATGAATAACAACTTTAATATTTTATTTCGATGTCAATATTTTATTCAAATATGAACTTATTTAAATGTTTTATATTTATTCACGCTACTATTATCTTACAAATGAAATACGAGCTACATGGTAGACGTTGATGAGTACGCAAGCTGTGGATCAAAAGGAGTCCGAGATAAATCCAAGCCATGATTTAGACTCTTTTATATTTTTTATAATAACATATTTTGAATTACTATAATGTAATAATGTCAATTTTAATTAAAATGTATATTGAAACATTTTTCTTAAATGCACTATTTAATGAATTAATATTAAATACTCATTTAAACTTTTTTTCTACCATATAATGTTTATTTATTTTTCTAGCCTTTTACTGTTAAGGAAAAAAAATGATAAATATCGTTAAAAAACCATTTATAACTCTACCTTAATGTGGTCGAGTATGCTAATTAGAGAAAAATATAGAAAATGCAACTTTATTTATTATTTAATGAATAATAATTGTTTTTCCATCTCCATAAAAAATAGAAAATTAAAAAAAAAATTGATATTTATAAACCTTAAAACATTCATAGTATTTAGTTTTTTTTTTTTTTTCATGAATATTAATCTTAAATTACCTTCCTGAACAGGATTAAGAGCTTGTTCAAGATTAATTTTTTTTGGCTATATAATGAACCAAAACCCAAATGGTTAAGCATTAAAAAAGAGTCTCGAGTATCGCCAGAAAAAATGAAGCCTCTAACCAGCTTGTGTTATATCTTATTGTTTGCTTTGGAATCAAGCATTATTATTGACACATGTTTTGCACTAACCAAGATACAAGGTGTAGGGAGAAAATGGCAAGATGTAGGGAGCGAATGGAAAGTGACTATTTACAATTACCAAAGGAACTCGGTTTTAAATGTTCATTGCAAGTCAAAAGACGACGATTTGGGGGCGCGCGTTTTGGAGACGGAAGCCCACTTCGACTGGAGCTTCAAAATAAACTTTTGGCAAACAACTTTGTTTTGGTGTAACTTTAATAGTGTGAATGGACATAATTCATTTGAGGTTTTTTGGCCAGAAAAAAAGTTTTGGCTTTCTGAACGATGTGACTATTCAAACTGCATCTGGGCAGCTTTTGATGATGGATTTTACTTAAAAAATGTTCCATTCAAGAAGTTTGAACGGGTACACACTTGGAAAAAATGAAGTAAAATCTCCCTCACTCATTTCTCTCCCACAAAACCTACTTCTTTTTTTTTTTTCTTTTTACTTTTAATTGCTTACGCGCGTAACAATTCAATAGAGTTGTTATGTGTCCTTATAGGCCTACGATGTTGTGATGTTGTATTTTTTAAGTCTAATAAAAACGGAAGGAATCTTTTGAGATTTTAGAGTTCTTTTGATGTTGATAATTTTGTTAGGGGTTCCAAGTTTTTACTTGTAATGATCCATATCCAAGATTCCAAGTCTGGATTTGGCACTTAATGACCCTAGCATTTCCGTAATGATTTGGTCATCGGATTTTACAGTACTTTTGAGTTGGATTGATTGAATTTTCGGATCATCCAATTTTTTGACCACTCCCTATAACGAGGAATAATGAATTTTGATAGAACCCTATAACACGATCGAATGAGCTTGTAGGGCCTAGTGACTAGCTCTATGAGAACTCATGACTTAGAAACATGTATTAGGTATGAAATAAGACTGAGTGAATATCAAGACTTAAGAATGAAACCTGAGCTACATAGCCAAGACAAGTGTGTACACAAGTTGTGATCAGAACGAGTCGAGATAAATTCAAGTCATGATTTAGACTCTTTATTCATGCTACAATGTCCCAAGTACTTTTAACGTTGAGATATATTATTTATAGAATAAATCTTAGATATTATATCTTAATATTCTTTCTTTTAGATTTAATTTATAGTATATTTTATTTTATTCTCGATATTTAATTAGTTTATATTTTATTTGTTGTAGGTATTAGTTATTAGACTGTATTCTATTTAAAGGATATATTAGAGAATACACATTTTCTCAATTCTATTTCTATTTCTCATTCTTTAACACGTACTCACTTGCTTGGCTATCGTACCTTACCTGCATGGTCATATATGAGAGTGACAATTGCTAACAATCAAAATTCTGAACTTTTGACGGTTCATTGCAAGTCCAAAGACG